TGGTGGCTTAGTGGTTAGCACATTTGTCTCGCACCTCTGGGTTTGGGGGTTCGAATCCTGCCTGCGTGTGCGGAGTTTTCATGTTCTCCCCATGCTTCGGGCGTTTCCTCCCACAGTCCAAAGACTTGTAGGCTGATTGGCATTTGTGAATGTGTGCGCGATTGTGCCCGGCAATGGGTTGGCACCATGTCCAGAGTGTCCCCTACCGTGCGCCCCGAGTTCCCTGGGATAGGCTCCAGGGTCCCCCGTGACCTTGTGTAGGATAAGCGGTACAGAGAATGGATAGATGGATGGAATATGAATTGCAAGAGTACCAATAATTTTGTAACCAATGTTTATTTTTGTGGAGTTAAAACTATACTTGTTGCATGTGCCATTTATGTTTGCTCAAGAAAGGTACCAATATGTTGTCTGTGTCAATATACAGTATGTCATATTTGTATCCGACTTCCTATGTGTTCATTTCAGAATCTACTGGGATCTGGACATTCAGACCAACGCAGTAATTAAGGAGCGGGCTCCATTCAACTACCTCCCTCCTCATCCGGAGATCGAGCTACAGCGTGCACAGCTCACCACCAAACTCCGCCAGCACTACCATGAGCTGTGTTACCAGCGTGAAGGTACACATGCGCACCATTAATAAACTCAGAGTGCCCAGATCTCATTAGGTGTAGTGTTAGCATTCGTAGTATGAAAGGAAGGTAGCAGTTAAGAGAAGAGAGATGATTCTCATCCCAGTTAGCAGTCTATAGTTGAGATGTTGAAGATGTGATGCCATTATCCTGCCATCATTTACACACTTTGACCTTATCAGCTGCTCTTACTGTCCTTCTCTATAGATATATTTTCTATCACCCTCCTCACAAATGAAAAATTCTTACCTAGAGTTAATGCTGTCATTATGAAAAGCACAGTTCAGACATGTCAATGGAATTATTATTGGTATTACCGCTATTGTATTGACATTATGTTTGGCATATAGAATGTAGACATAGCAGCACCTAGCACTGTTATCACTGTTGGCTGTTCTGTTTTGTGCTGGCATTAAGGGCACCACACAACCAACTCGAACCTGAGTTTCTTTTTTCCCCTTCAGAAGAACATTGTGCACTATGAAATTTATCAAACCTGGCTTAAAACAGTCAGGGATTTTAATAACAAACACACTGACATGATTTGCGTGTTGCAGGGATTGAGCCGCCACGGGAGTCATTCAACCGCTGGCTGTTGGAGAGGAAGGTGATGGATAAAGGAGTGGACCCCCTGCTGCCCAGCGAGTGTGAGCCTGTCATCTCTCCCTCCATGTTCAGAGAAGTCATGAACGACATCCCCATCAGGTCCAAATCCAATCCCGTACTTCACTGTACATGCGTAAGATCATTTTAGTGTTTGGAGAAAGAATGACCCGTGGTTCTTTCTCCTGCAATTCTAGGCTCTCGCGCATTAAATACAAGGAGGAGGCCAGAAAGCTGTTATTCAAGTATGCAGAGGCAGCCAAGAAAATGATTGATTCCAGGTGAACGGTTTTGATAATAGTACAATTACTGAAATGTTGGCAATATTTAGGATGTTGCTTGTGGTGGACTAACACATGCAACCCATGTGCCAACAGAAACGCTACCCCCGACAGTAGAAAAGTCGTAAAGTGGAACGTTGAAGATACAATGAACTGGCTCAGGAGAGACCACTCTGCCAGTAAAGAAGACTACATGGTACTTTCCAGATCTTCATACATTTATATCATCTTTGTTGTTTTTCTCGTGCCACGAATGTGTTCACTGCTCTTTGCCTTCTCTCAGGATCGGCTGGAGCACTTGCGGAAGCAGTGTGGTCCTCATGTGACGGCTGTAGCTAAGGACTCAGTGGAGGGGATTTGCACTAAAATCTACCACATCTCAGCCGAGTATGTGCGCCGAATCCGTCAGGCCCACCTCAACCTGCTGAAAGAATGTAACATCACGGGTGAGAACAAAATGTGGGGAAAATTAAAGACTGCTCAAATTACTACTCACCATACTGCGTTATTACACACAGTAACACTAAACAATAAATTGCGAATCAATTCATTTGTACGTGTTAATTAAAAATATCATAAACAGCAACTTTTTATTCTTCTCGTAATTCTAGCATTGATATTTTACTAGACTTTTGTTATTTTATATATACTGTATATATGATATTTTGATATGATATTTTCATGTTCTACCACAGCACTGCTGAATTCTTGATTCTAATCGGTCAGCAGGTGTTGATTAATTTTCTGTAACAGCAGATCTGACAGTAATGCTGACTAGAAAGCAAATAATAGGTTTCTGTTAATGTTCCTGTTCTAATAAGTTTTTGTTATGCCTTTGGCATTCTGTTTTCTGGTTGTCCATCCGTCCGTCCGGCTGAGATTCTCGTTAGTGTGATATCTCAAGAATGAGTGGTTGAATGTTTGTAGGATATATAAGGAATTATCATTGTAACCAGCAGATGAACTGATTAGATTCTGGAATTGATCCAAACAGGATCAAGGTCACAGTAAGGTCAAATGTCTTCAATAGCTTCCTTCATGTTTGAAGTATATTTTAAGGGTATCGCTGGCATACAAATTAGTAACAAGGAGAACTAGACTTGGTGGTGGAGGCATCCCCGTCAGCGGCGTTGATGTTGAATTTGACTGAACAGGGAGTTATAAGGTGAATTCTCCACGTAACAGATAAAAAAAAATATGTATATTCGTTAATGTGGTGAGGTATTGTGTGGGGAGACTGAGAGGAAGGACTCTAGCGTTAGCATTGTAACATTCATAGGTGAACCTGCGACTTTACCTTTTCTGACATGGGAAAGTCTTTAGGATGGAGGGATTTGTGGTTTTTCTGTAACATGACAAGCTGCTTTTTTGTCACACTATCTCAAAGAGAGTGAAAAAAGAGAAGCTGGTGAGGGAATGACCATTTATAGCCGTTATAATTCAAGTAATAAAAGGAACTAACTTATTTTGTGGATGTTCAACAACATGGAACTATAAATGGATAAAATGAAGACAAATTGCTGTTGTATAAGAGAAGCAAAAGACATTTTGTTTATAGAGGGGGATAACGGTAACTCTGCTTTGCATCGGCTGTATCACAGCACCCAGGTGTTGATTATTTTCTTAACAGCACACGTTGTGTTGTTTTATTGCTCACATATCATCCAGCTCTATTTGGAGACTGCACTTTTCACACTTTGGCAATACAAAATCCAATTACCAGCAAGAAGTACTCAATTTATTGAGATTAATCACTATCTGATGATTGCCCTTGTGCTATAGTGGACGGGGCGGAGACTGCGGAAGTGCAGGACCGGTTGGTGTATTGTTATCCAGTTCGACTGTCGATTCCGGCGCCACCGCAGCCCCGTGTTGAGCTCCACTTTGAGAACGATATCGCTTGTCTGCGATACAAAGGAGAAATGGTGAAGGTCAACCGTGGCCACTTTAATAAACTGGTATGATTAACAATATTTTACATGTAGAAAACGTTTCCAAAGCTCATGTATGCTTCACAGATGTTATTCTTAAAATAATACAATAAGCCCAAGATAACCCTAGACACACAAAACAAATGTCGCTAAATGTTTCTTTCATTTAGTTATCTAACAGTCAGTTTAGGTGACAGTGAGACAAGTGTTTTCATATTGGATGAACTGTGAACATGTGACAGTCGATTGTGTGCACTAAAAGAAAGATGTGTATCTTCTATTTAAAAATCTACCCCATGAACAGGAGCTCCTTTACCGGTACAGCTGTATCGATGATCCAAGGTTTGAGAAGTTTCTGTCACGTGTGTGGTGCCTTATAAAGAGATATCAGGTGAGCAGATATGTTGAAGCATCATGCTTTCTCTTTATGCGTGGTTTAGAGAATGCTATATGATGTTCATATCATCTCACTGTATGTTCTTTTGAAGGTGATGTTCGGATCTGGTGTGAATGAAGGCAGTGGCCTACAGGGAGCACTTCCTGTGCCAGTGTTCGAAGCGCTCAACAAACAGTTTGGAGTCAGTTTCGAGTGTTTTGCCTCGCCGCTCAACTGCTACTTCAAGCAGTTCTGCTCAGCCTTTCCTGACATTGATGGTTTCTTTGGGTCTCGAGGGTACGGTTTCCAAAGTGCATGCTAAATCTTGTTTTGCTGAATCTTATCAGTGAGCATGCAGTGATTTATACTTACTGTGGTTTAATGTAAATATCATTTTCTTTGCTCTCTCAGGCCATTTCTGAGCTTTTCACCTGTCAGTGGATCATTTGAAGCCAATCCTCCATTCTGCGAGGAGCTCATGGATGCCATGGTCACACGCTTTGAAGTAAGTGATATTTAAATGAACTCCCAGGTGTATGTTTTGTATGTACTGTATACTGGAAGCTTATTCGCTTGTTTGCTCTCCATCTCTCTTTTCTAGGAGCTTCTAGAGAACTCTAGTGAGCCGCTGTCTTTCATTATCTTTGTTCCCGAATGGCGTGACCCCCCGACCCCAGCACTGACACGGATGGAGACCAGCCGCTTCCGCAGGCACCAAATGTCAGTGCCAGCCTTTGAGCATGAATACCGCAGTGGCTCTCAGCATATCTGCAAAAGGTCAGATTCCCTATATGTCTATATTTCCCTGTCAAATTCTCTTCTTCCCAGTTCTTTCACACCTTCATACTGTGCACATTTCCATACAACATGGTTATTCACTGCACAGAAACAAAGAATGCAATTTACCATAATCATATTTCATGAATTAGATTATACCAGACACCAGACAACACCATTACACTTACTTGGATACACTAAAGGAGTCTGTTCCTTTTAGGTAGGAGCTTTGGATTTGTGAAATAAAAATAAGCAAGCAATCTTGAGAAACTTCTTAACTTTTACATATATGGCGTTAAGCAGACGCCCTTATCCAGGGCGACTTACATTTATCTCATTTATACAACTGAGCAGTTGAGGGTTAAGGGCCTTGCTCATGCACCCAGCAGTTGCAGCTTGGCGGTGATGGGGATTGAACTCATGACCTCCTGATCATTAGTCCAACGTCCTAACCACCGAGCTACCACTGCCCTACTACACCTGCTCACATACAATCAATTACAGCAGTCTGCATACGCTTAGAACAAACGAATTGTATCAAAAAGAGCTTTTGAGTTTTTTTTCTTTCATTGACATTTGCTTTTCTCATTGGGTGTCAAACAGTCCATCACGAGAAGGGGAGTAATTACCCTGAAAAGTGACAGGACAGTTACACAAATTGTTTGTCTTCCACAGCTCTCTCTCGAATCCACTGTAAAATTAATCCTACATTTTGTAGTTGGTATTATTGGAAAATATATAAGACCTACAGTAATAATGGAATTCAAGTACATAAAACCTGTGGTTCTTTCTTCATTCTGTATCTTTATTTCAAACAGAAAAGAACCCTTGCATAGTAAGATTCTACCAGTGAGAAACATTTTTATATTTTAAAAACAATACTGTATACTGAACAATTCTTCAAATTCATATTTACAATAACTTCACAAAGCATGAAGTGGACTTGTATCACTGAACACAGCCCAATTGCTTGTAATTAGTCAGGCTCTTCGGGACAGAGGTAGTTTTCTCAGTCATACTGAGTTTGTCTTTAGTATCTAATAATGACACCGAGCTGTCACTACTAAGACTACTTATTTGACTAAACAGTGGAATGACCTCTAATGTGATTTGAAGCATTGCTATTGTACATGATGTGGTTTTAATTCCTTTTCTTTTTTTTAAAGAGAGGAGATGTACTACAAAGCCATCCATGGAACAGCAGTCATCTTCCTGCAGAACAACGCCGGCTTCGCTAAATGGGAACCAACCAGTGAGAGAATTCAGGAGCTGCTGGCTGCGTATAAGATCTCGGGACGGTCACTGTCCTCT